CATGGATCAGTAGATAACTTCTCTTTTGTATATAATTTCAGACAATCTTTCAAAGATACATCAGCCTTTTTTGTTGGTACAGGTAACGTCAAAGGAAATACTAGTTCATATGTTTTTTGTTCCTAAAATTACTATCCACATTATTTCTAAAAAGTTTAAACATACATGACCACGAGATGAATTCTGGCATTTCATTGTACATTTAATTTGACCATAAAAGATTTCAATTATCTTTGATTTGTCTCGTCTTTCACTTAACTTTCTCCATTCTTCAGCTATTTCCTAATGGTATAATTTATCATTGAATTGTAAATTAATTGAAAAATATTTGTTCTTAATTACTACTGGTTGCAACCTGGCAATAAGGTCAGTAGTTGCGATGCTCGTATTATTGTAACTATATATTGTTCAGTCAAAATGTAGCTGTAAAAAAATGTTATTAAGCAAAAATTCCAAAATTAATGTTAGTCATTCAGATTTTTGTCATTTCTATTACAACTTTGTTAAAGAAGACACACACTGGTGACCACAAATTTGGCAAATTTTTGACTAATTAGGAAAACTTGGAGCTATACAGTATATTGTTTAGAGTCCAGTTCACTACAATAAATGCCAAAAATAAGCTCAAAAATACCTCAGTTTTTATTAAATATTTCTGGCATTGATAATGTCATATCATAAATTGGGCAACACATGAATTCTTTTATGTTAACAAGCACTACAATAGTACATGTACATGGCTTTCGGAGCAAATTTTAAAATTCATAAAAAATTCAATTTTTGTCCGAATCAGCTCAAACTTGCTACATAACATTAAAAAAATGTATAATGTACTAGAAAAAATTATAAAAATTGAGAATTCTCTCTTAATCATTTTTGCAAAATTTTTATACTAAAGTACAAAGACTTTGGCCTGATTTTTGAGTAACTTAAAAAAATTGTAAAAAATTTAATTTTATTCAGATGTAGCTCAAGCTCACTACATGTATTAGAAAAGTATTCTGTATGGTATTTTGTATTTTGTTAAATTTTGGAGCAACTTTAAAATCCACTAACAAGAGCCTGCACGAGCACTATACTTAAATCCTATGGGAAACCCTGGAGTAACATGCATCTGGCAAAATTTTGCCAATTCCTAAATAAATTTGTTCACAAAAATATCAAAAAATTTCAATGTCCTTGTATCTGTAGTGTCAATTTTAATCAAATAAAATTTCAGAAATATAAATGAACTAATCTTTTGCTAAGACTAAGTGCACAAAAATCAATAGCATAGCTAGTTTTACCTCTTGGCTTTATAACACACATGTATATACAATGTAGTATTATTTTGCTCATTGCTTTTACAAAGAGTACATAATTTTACAGAGTGTTTACCTACTCTTCCTTGATACTATTACTTATTTTTAAAAACGTATTTGTAATAATAGATACACGTTCTACTGTACATGCACTCGTAATACCTCTTCTGATTCAAATTGACTTTCATCCACTTCCATTGTAACATATGGTTTTTTCCCAGTAATTTCATTGAATTCTTCATGTAAACCACCAATAAAAAGAGTGATTAATTCTTGAGCGTCTTGTTGAGAGTTCCCTTTAAAAATTGGAGCATGACGTTCTATAGCTTTCTACAATATAAACACATAAATAATTATGATACAAATGTTGCATCTTGCTTTTAGGTCATATGGATTGCAACTTGCTAGACCTGATGCCTTAAACATGTCTTTAATAAGCAGAGAAAAGGTACTAGCTAGAGGTCGGTCACTTGGTTGAGAAGCTATAATGGCACACACACATAAATTATAAAGGTAATTTGGCATTCTTACTGTGTAGAGTCCTACTTCCATTCTATTAATAATAGATACATGTATTGTAGATTCAAAAAGACTAATGAATTATAATACCTTGTCTTTGGGTTCTATCAGCTCTCTTAATGGTTCTGTATGAACCAAACATTGCAGTGCTGAATTCATGTAGCAAGTGTTTCCAAGGTTTATAAGCCCACAAATTTCCAAATTTACTCTCTGTGATTTAACCCCAGATAGTTTTGCATGCCTGAAAAAATCTCAATTACTGCATAAACATAAAGACTTACCAATGAACATTTAAAGTTTTGTCTTTACCAGAACTTGAGTTTGAAGGATTATTACATATACCTGAAAGATCAGAACTGATACTAGATCTAGAACTTTGTTTTGAAATTGCTATAATGCAGATAAACACAACATTAAATTGACCAAACACATGTACCGTCTTGTGAAAGAGATTTTGGAGGGTAAAATGGCTTGTCCTTCCGACTCAGTGCTTTCCTATCACTTGGAGGGGTAGAATAAACTATATAAGACAAATTTAATATGAATTGAACATTAAAAATTAGAATTACTTTCATTGCTTGAAGAAGATCTTGAGACTTGTTTTACTGGTATCTGGTCAATTTTTGGAAATTTATCACTGAAATCTACATGAAACAAATTTAAATAAGCAAAGCAATAAGAGTATACCAACCATCACAGCTTCTTGATGTTTTCCTACATCTTGGTGGAGTGCCTATAAATTTAATGTTTATCACAACACTGTAGCAACTAATAACGCACTATGTGGTGAGTAAGACTGCTTTGAAAAACTAGTTTCATACTCTAATTTTCTATTTTCAGGTTTTGTATGCTTAGGTACCACAGATTTCAAATGAAGTTTTTGATTCTTTTCTCTGTGTAACTTATCAGGTAACAAAAATTGCTTCGTTGTCCTTGATTGATCCTTGAATTGCTTCAGTGTCTTTGGCAGTTGATCCATCAATTTTTTATCAAGTTCTCCTTCAGAGTCAGAATTGCTCAGCTTCCTTTTTTCACTTCTGATCATTTGAGGATTTTCACTAAGTTCAAAAATTTTAAATGGCCCTTTTTGTTCAATGCTAAGATAAGGTTTTTTTACATCTATCTCATCGAATTCATCAATTTCAGTACTTTTGCAGCCACAACAAAATAGGTAAGACAGACCCTTCAACATTTTAACATTTACACCTAATGTCATGAGAAAAAAAAATAAAACCCTTTGTACTGATCCTCTATTCCTCTTACAACCACACGATTAATGAGCATACACATGATCTAAATATTTCAATCTTTCACTCGAAATTATCATCATTTTTAATTTACATCTAGTTGATTTACAGGAAGAACAATATATTTAGAACAAAGGGCCAATAATAATTTCCCCCTTTCTATTTATTAAAAATAGATCAAATCTTGATATTATCAGGACAGAAATGAGAAGTTACAATGGTACAACCTCTAAAGACCCTTTTATAGGAGTCAACCTTCTATAATGCTAAATTATTAGTTAACTGAACTTATACTAAAATATATAATAGTAGGTATGCTATAAAATGATACAGTTTAGTTAAGAACCATTCTAATAGTATTAGAAAGGCTCTCAACTAAACAGTATCATTTTGTAGTATCAAGTGTTAACTACACTGTCTAGTTGAAAAGTATGCAATAGTCAATTTAGAAACAATTATTATACTGACTAAAATTTTGTGGCACAAAATATTTAAAAAGCCTCAATTTGAATATTTGTGGAAAATAAATTAGCAAATCTCCTTGACCATATCATGTGAACCCCTAAAATTTTGAGGAGAAAAATTTTGTGAATATTACAAATTTGTAAAATTCATAAAAATTTTAGGTCATATGGTATTATTATTATCCTTTGCAGTAGAATCAAAAATAATAGTGTGTGCTGAAGGGAACCAAATAAATACACTAGGCCCCTGCATAAGTGATAAATAACACAGGTACAACAAGGGCAGTAGACATACGAAACCAAAAACTGAGACATTTCAAGCAAATTATTGACCGAGTTAAAAAATTTAGGCTAAACTAATTAATTTAGAAATGAATTATAATATTATGTTTCAAAAGACCACCAATTTGAAATTTTTGCAAATAGTCAGTAAATTTTTTTTGGAAATTAAAATTGAAAAACCTTGTATAAGAGTACTGACTTAGTCTGACTACACTATAATTAAATAATTATATATTATATATATCTAATACCCACATGATGGGCCACATCTTAGATAATTTACTGATGCGTAAGCTTACATTTAGACTATGTTTAGACACTCATAAGTGAATACCTCGAGTTATGGTCGAAGGCACAAAAGTCTATTATATACAATAATGCTTGCTCCAACACAAAAGTCCGAATGTCAGTCTAGCTACTGCTGTTATGCAGCCTCGGCCTCGCCCATAGTCGACTCGTGGTGATCAGACTAGACTCACGTGATAATAATTATACCATACCTATGGGCAGCTGCGAGATGGCCACTTGGTCCGTGACAGTTGTTGGCATTGAAGAAGGCCATTACCCTGTTAAAGTTGCTGGTGACGAAGCTACTTTCAGGAAAACTACTATTAAGCAGCTAAAAAAGAAAATATCCTATTCAAAAACAGGCCTCGTAGGTCCGGAGTACATGCGTCTTCTCTTTGCCGGTAAACAGCTCGAAGATGAAGACTCTTCCACTAACGAAGAGAAGACATTAGAAGATTATAACATTCAAAAGCGATCAGCTATTACTGTTGTTATGAGAGTGCACGGAGGAAGTGACAGATCCTTGCCGAGTGTCAACAGAGTACCAGTGCCGCCTCTAACTGAGGATAAAGAATATCCGAGGGACTTTCCTTTGAAGTTTACTGATGATCCTGATTGCCTTGATCCTTTACCTGATCCCAATGCTCCAAAAAGAGTAAAAATGAAATGTGGTCATGCTGTTGATCCAAACACTCTTACAGCTTATTGTCGTAGTCTTCTCGATCAGCATATCTTTACATTCACTTGCCCTGCTATTGTTGACTCGAAAACAAACAAGCAGTGTAAAAAGGAATGGGATTACACTGATGTTCGTTTTGCTGCATTATTGAATGATGCTGAGATGCAGTATTTTGAGAGCAAGATGTCCGAATATGCTGCCTCACAATATTGCTACTTGAAAGAATGTCCTGGTTGCCGATCATTTGTTGAACGTGTTGATTTAGACAATCTTAATGTTCATTGCCCACTTTGTACCAAGAAAAAAGGTAAAGTTTATGAATTCTGCTGGCATTGTTTAAAGGAATGGACAGGGCCATGGAAATCATCTGTGAAATGTGGCAATGAGTCTTGTATTCATCCTGATCTCCCATCGATTAGAGATGCTCCTGATTTTGTCCTCAATGGCAAAAATGTTCCTAATCGTCGTGCATGTCCAACTTGTGGAAAAGTTGTTGAACACAATACCACAGGTTGCAAGTTCATTATTTGTCCTCGCTGCAAGAAGGAATTTTGCTTTATGTGCCTTGAATTAAAGGAAGTGTGCTTGAAAAGTGCTCCAAGCTCTTGGCATAAAAAATGCAAAAAGGCTGTTGCGCCAAAGCAAACTGTTATTCCTTGCTGGTCTCGTAACAAGTGATCCAAGTTTAGGCTCTACTTAGTCTTTAGATACAATTATTATTAATTTTTTTGTAGTGATAAAAATTATGATGAGTTTGATGATTTTAAAATTAGGTTTTTTCGGAGATTTTCTTGTATGCAAAAAATTTACCATAATCGTTCACTTATGTGTGGTCACAGAGACATTATCTGATACATGTATCTGTATGTACGTGCATCGTCTGCATCCAGAAGACCCGCCCAACTAGCCTAGCAGTAGTGCAGCTGCCTCGTAGATACCGATACTTCTCTTGGCCCGCCTCCGCAGTCGGCCATCATAATCATTCAGATTGTGAGAATAATGGCAGTTGTTAAAGTAGCTAACGACTGGCTAAAACCAATACCGATAGAAAATGTGGAGGAAACTGGTAAAGAACTAGGTCGAGGATCATACGGCGTTGTGATTGAAGTGACTGTGAATGGCCAGCGATGTGCTGGAAAGAAGCTTCATAATCTTATTTCTGAGGTATGTTTTCAGACTTAGTAGTATATTAGACATGATTAGACATAGCATACTAAATAGGTAAATGAATGTTGTCATCATTATGAAAATATTATAAAAAAACATTAAAAATGGAAAAGTAGTAGAAAAAAGTACAGAAACAAGAGGGTAGACTACTTGCAAACTTAGTCTCGCTAGCCAGACCATTCCCCAGCCTACAGTCATTGGGGTGGACGGCGGGGAAGGGTCTGGTACACTCTTTAATGTAGTTTTGTTCTTGCCAACTCAGCAAAATGCTGTCAAAATGACGACGTCATGGATTAAGTCATATGACGTCACAAATACCACGTGGTGGCATGTGATCGAGAAATGGATTCCTGTTTGACTGAAGCAGCTGAATTACTTGGTTATAGAAACCTTAAAGATGAACAAATATCATGTCTGACAGAATTTTTAAGTGGAAGAGATGTTTTTGTGATTCTGCCAACTGGTTTTGGAAAAACAGCCTGCTTCACTCTGCTCCCTTTTGCCTTTGACAAGTACCAAAAAAGAGATTCAGGAAACAAGGCTATCATTATTGTTGTGAGTCCTTTGACAGCCCTCATTATAAATCAAGTGGAAGCTCTTTTAAGTCGCAATGTATCTGCTGGTTACATTAATTCGGAATCTACATCTGACGTTAAGAAAAATGTTACTCTTGGAAAATATTGCATTGTATTTATGGGTCCGGAGCAACTTGTTGATGAATGGAGAAGCTTATTGTCAAGTGATGTTTACATGTCTCGCCTTGTTGGTCTAATTATTGATGAGGCTCATTGTGTTGTTAAATGGTAAGCAATTATATAATGTGATTTTATTATAAACAATAATTATTTCATAGGGGTAAAACTTTTCGTGAAGCATTTACACGACTAACTGAAGTGAGGAGTACAATGCCATCACATATAGGCATTATGGCATTAACTGCTACAGCCACAAGAACATTACGTCTACAGGTGGAACAAATTCTAGGGATGAGATCGCCACTAGCAATTATTCGTTCTCCTGACAAACCAAATCTCAGATTCAGTAATATAGAGCTGGGAGGTGTAAATAATTATGGGGTTCCAAATATATTCCATCATATCCTTATTGAATTGAGGGAGAAACTGACTGATTTACAAAGGGTCATGATATTTTGTAAGGTGAAGACAGATTGCCCAAAGTTATACACATTTTTTAAAGCGTGTTTGGGAAGATACTTCACTCATCCACCTGGAGCATCTACAGATTTAGTTGAATGTCGTCTTGTAGATATGTTTTTTAAAGGAACACGTACACATGTTAAACAAAGAATTATAGAGAATTTTACTAAAGATTCGTGCTTACGCATTATTATCTGTACTGATGCATTTGGAATGGGAGTAAATTGCCCAGATGTAAGGCTTGTCATACATTATGGTGTTCCAAGTGATGTGGAGACATACGTACAGCAAATAGGAAGGAGTGGTAGAGATGGAAAGGAATCTTATGCAGTCCTGTTGCATTCAAAAAAAGAAGATGGAGAATTGTAATGAACACATGACAAAGTATGTTGAGAATAAGGCGTCTTGCAGAAGAGATTACTTATTTCAAGACTTTGAAAATACATCTCATGATAGCATAAATAAAGGATGCAAATGCTGTGATGTTTGTGCGAAACATTGTTTGTGTGGTCAATGCATTGTGTCACTTACTCAAAATTATTCATTTATGCCAATGTTATTTAATAAAAAATTTTAATAAACTATTGTGTTTCTAAGTAAGTGTAACTGGTCAATCATCCATTTCCTGACTTTGTCACTATGCTTCATTGATGAAATGATGTTGATTGGTATGTTTTTGAAACAGGAATGTGCCCTTCCTTTGTGGTAAGAAAATATTTCGGCTTCCAGCAAATGCTGCAAGAGGATTTCATTATCCTTTTCTGTGCTGGCAACAGTATGCTTTCCAGATATCTCCTTTAAACTTAACTGCCTGTCATAGTCATCCAGTAAAGCATCAATTACACCAACACATTTAGCAGCACGCTGTATGGCTTGTGGTGTTTTGTTAGCCGATAGTGTCCTTACAGCCTCCTTACATACTCTATTCAGGTGCTCCATTTACATGTCACAAGGAATGTTGTGTCCCGGTACACCATGAATATTAATAGTACGAGACCATAGTAGTTGAAGTCCTTGTCTTTGTGATAAAAAGAAATGGTATTGCGCAAGTAGATTAAATGCTTCAATACTATAATTGGTACGTCTTCGTGCCTTAAAAATAAGCATCAGATACCTCCAGCAACGTAATATCCATTCTCCATCACCTTCTCTTATACTATCACTATACTCCATGTACAACATCCCTTGAGACAATACTTCTACTGCATACTTCTTGACATTATCATCATCGATGTCATCCTCTAAATTGTGGTGGGCAAAAATGTCCATGTAGGACAAGGCAATCTCCTTTGCTACTTCATTCAACACATCCTTTCGCTTCTCACTGTCCTCTGACCACAAACCGTCATGCAACAATGGATGGACTGGCATATCACTACGATCATTCATTTCCAGATGGTTCATTGCAGCAGCTACAACATGGCACTGGACAACACTGGTGAAAAAATCGTCACAGGCATTAAAATCATCAGCAGCTGTTGCTGAAATATTCCTACGGTCGATCACATTCCTCAGATGACACAAAGTACCTTTATCTAGGAAGCTTTTGGTGTTGTAGAGCCATTTCCAAATCATCTAAAAGAAAGTGAATGAAATACTTAATACTATTTATTTTCTAGCTTACTTCAAGAAATATCTTCTTAGCATGCCAATCTTCAGTCACAGGAATGAATCCCTTTAATCTTGTGAACAAACTGACATCATTCTTCCTGCCCTCTTTAGCACTTTCAACCCTCTTTCTGGTAAGTTGGTCGCCTCCAAGTAGAATTTCATGAATTGCATCAGCAGTTACTTCAAGCTGTGTTACGCAATCAAGTGCAGTTTGAGTATGACATGGCACATATTCATTGAGGTGTAGTAAAATCTCAATCATGTCTTCCAACACGTTCTCATTCTTTAGAATGATACCTAACGGTTCCTAAAAACAACATGTACACGTAAGTGCCAATTCCAAAAGTTATAATAAATCATTAACTACACATTATAGTGAAACTCACTGTCATTGACTTTACTGCCATTTCATCATAGTACGTGTGTGTAATGTGATCAGTAGTGGCACAATCGAACGATCTGGTAAAGTATGGTAACTCCTTCACAAGGATTCTTCCAATCAAGACAGATAGGTTAGACAAAAGGGAAATATCATCAGATGCAGTTGGTAGCAAGTCAGTGACTGGTAGCTCACACAGTTCCTTGTGAAGAAACGGATTAGGATCTTCAGATGCTCCAGAAAGATCAATGCGATCACGTACAGCATAGCAGTGAAAGAAGTGTAACGATTTGGCTTTTTCATCTACTCTCATATGCCTTGGATTAATTGTGATGTTGATATTATCACCTACAATCTTAAATCCATTCCAGGGATCTTTATGACTTTCACTAACATCTTCATCAAAGTTACAAGTATCTGAAGAAAGCAAACGGTTTACCACGATAATCTATATTCTATTAATTACCTAGATTGTTTGATATATCAGAAAATGTAGGCGGATTGGGAGTGGATGCTCTAGAAACAACAGACTCTGTTTCCTCAATCCCGTCTTCTATAGTAGTCCCATTATGGTCATTTTCTTCTGAAGTTTCCTATAATGTACAGAATTTACTTCACATTTAAATATGTAAGTAACTAACATTGTTCAAGAAAGTATCAACATAATGTACATGCAGATCATTAGCTACATGTAAGTCTTCATCATCGCTGCTGTTATCACAAAACTAATAACAAATGAGAATATTAAACATTCATGAAATGCCATGTACAACGTACTTCTAACATTGATGGCATATCACTACTGTTCATCTACAAAAAAATGTCACCATGTAATGCGTAGAAGATTATATATTACTTGATCTTGAGTTTGTGTGCGTGATAAAAGACTTGATTGCCAAGTCTTTACATTGGAGTCATAATCTTGACCAAGAGAAGTTATGAGAGTGTAAATAGCATTTTTGCCCATACATATCGATAGTTGCTGGAGTCTCCTATAAACCTACGAATAAATACAGTATAATAATTATAATTTAAAAATTCAGCACAATAATCACCATTGTTCCACAGTGACCAGCATACATTATAGCCGACACAAGTTTCTGTAGAAGGGACATACGACAATAATGATACTTTGACAACATGCACACAATAGTACAAATTAGATGTACACGATTTGGCCTAAAAATAATAAGACAAAATATTTAAATTGATACTATGTGGGCTAAGTGGTCATTATAAACAATGAATGAATAGTAATAGTACCTTTGTGCCTTTGTATCAGTGCTTGCTAACATAAAAGAGAGCAGCAGTGGGCAGTGTTGCTTAACTTCATCTAAAATCCTTGCCCAAGGGAAAGACAGAATATCATCTTTACTTGATGAACGCTGAACAGAGTCAACACGTTCACTACAGAGAGTCTTGATCTCGGTTTTTATGAGCTTCCCAATTCCAACAGCTAGGTACTTTCTAACCTCAAGATCATTTAATGCTTCACGTGCAACACTCTTAGCACTGTCACCAGACCTTGCAAGCTTACTAATAAAATTCTTTCTTTGAGGACTCGTTTGATTATATGACTTGCTTCCACTTTTATAGCCAATTCCAACCTACATTAATATTACTAATGATTTAAAATCTTCTTAATATTACCAATATAAATTAATTCAATTACAAGCATTGAAACTTACTACAATTGGTGGAGAGTCATCACTATTTGTCTCGCTATTTGCACATCTTCTTTTGGTTGCTGACATAAGATCACTGTCAATACTGGAAGCAACTCTCCTCATAGGAGTGACAGGATTGGGACTGCTGCTTACTGACTCAATGCCATTGACAGAATTGGCTGTTGCTGCAAAAAGGCGTTCTTCTTTCTCTTGGTGGGTGGTATATGATTTAAAACAGGCCCTACAGACGCAAGAACAGCTAATAATAGAGTCCAAATCAGCTTCCATATGGTTCTCTTCTAGTCTCTTTGTGAGTAATCGCTTCAAAAGTACCGAAATATCACTGGCAGATGCCCTAGATCCTTTTACAAGTGTTCCACCACAAGCCAAGCAAAAATCCGCCATCTTATATCATGTGATATCTATGTGACAAATTATGACGAGTTAGCTTCAAGGATTTTCATTGGTCACGTCCACTTTTGGACGGGAGAACAAAACTACATTAAAGAGTGTACCAGACCCTTCCCCGCCGTCCACCCCAATGACTGTAGGCTGGGGAATGGTCTGGCTAGCGAGACTATTGCAAACTGGTGTGGTAAGAAATCCTACACCCTTACAAGAAAAATATTACCCAAAAGCATTGTAATTATCATCCACACAGACTACTCATTATGATAACTATGAAGCCATGTCTTTCATCAAGTGTATACTCTTGCTTTCATGCAGTTGTGTAGAATTTCTTACCACACCAGTTTGCAAGTAGTCTACTCTCTTGTTTCTGTACTTTATTCCAATTCAATCCTACTACTTTTCCATTTTTAAATATAGGTTAGACAACGCATTTGAGGTTTCTATGTGATTTAGATTACCGAGGAAACAAATTAAATTAACTGAGGGCGTAGCCGGAGGTTAATTAATGTTTCCAAGGTAATCTAAATCACATAGAAACCGAAAATGCGTTGTCTAGGTTCTTTAGATTATAGTCAGGTAATGTGAGGCACTGGGTTCATTACCAACAAGGATAATGCTGTTGCTAACCAGTCTTTTTCATGTTCTGAAAAACTATTGGTCAGTGATTTTACCTTGGGAGACGCCATAGTGACAGCACAAGACAGTTTCAAATCAAAACTAGCTAGGTTCGACAAAGATAACACTTGGCAATGTCTTCTACAATACTAGCCTGTCCTGTTAGAGCTGTGCAGCAACAGCACAAGGACAAAGATACGCTATTGCAAGCGAAAAAGATATATTGAAAGCAAGGAGTGCATCTGTACTCGAAAAAATGAGGGTAGACACAAATTGGTGCATAAACCAATGGAATACTTGGTATAGGTGGAAGCTGCAACTTGATAAAACTCCATCCATCATGTCTCTCAGTCACGAAAAGCTTGCTAAATCTATGGAAATGTTTGTCCTGGAAGTAAGGAAAAAAGAAGGCACTGAATATGTTCCAAATACTCTATACCATATGGTGTGTGGTATAATGTGTCACTTGAGAGCTAGTGGCAACATCAGTATCAATTTTTTTCAAGAACGATGAGTTCATTGACTTCCGTTCCACTCTTAATGGTGAAATGAAGCGACTTACAGCTAAAGGTCTTGGTGCTATTTTAAAGAAAGCGGAATGCATCGAGATAGATGAAGAAGAGACTCTATGGAGTAAAGGCATTCTCGGAGACCACTCACCCAGCTCCCTTCTTAATACCATTTTCTATATGAATGGTCTTTACTTTGCACTGAGAAGTGGAAAAGAGCATAGGCAATTACGATACTCACCTTGCCAGATTAAAATTATTGAGAAAGAAAGACAAATACCTTACCTTGAGTTCTCTGAGGAAATTTCGAAAAACAATCCTGGAGGTTTAAAGGGAAGAAAAATAACTCCAAAAGTTGTGAAGCATTATGCAAACTTAGAAAAACCACACCATTGTTTCGTGAGAATCTTTAAAAAGTACAATCGTTTGTGTCCAGAAAACCGTCCATCAGATGCATTTTATTTGAAGCCGATGAGTAAGCCAAGAGAGGACTGCTGGTTCACTCCAGTTGCTGTTGGTCACAATACTTTGCGACAGATGACGAAAACAATGTTTAAAATGGGAGAAATAAAAGGAGTCAAAACTAACCATTCTTTACAAACAACTGCAGCGACCCGTTTATAAGGTGTTGACCAACAACTGATAATTGAACGCACTGGTCACCATAGCATCGATGGAGTGAGAAGCTACAAGAGAACATCAGCTGAACAAATGATTGAGGTATCAGATATTTTAGCGAACACTCAAAATACTCAACAAACAAAAAAATTTAAAATGTTGATGGACTGTGAAGCACGAATTGCTTTCAATAACTGCACAAATGTAACTGTAAATATTCAAAAATAACAATTTTATTATTATAAATAATGGTTATTAACAATCTAAGAAGTTATTAAGAGGTAACTAAGCTATTTAGATTACTTCATTTGACCAATCAAATTGCCTCATTTTACCTGACTATAATTATTTACTTGTTTCCATTCTTTTTTCTTAAATTTATAAATTAGACTTTGTTATGATTATGGTTAGACTTATATTCATGCTGATCACGTGCTCAAAATTAAAATGGCATCAAACCACAAACCCACGTGGTGTCTGCAGCTGGATTATGTCTTCCATTTTGTTCTCTCCTAGCTTCTTTTTGAAACTACCTTTGTGGTCCTTGACCCAAGCCCAGGAGAGTGATGTAAAAGCCAACTCGAGCACTTCTCTGGCTTAAAAGATTAGAGGGCCGATAGAAGAAGATGAAAGAAGAAGAAAAAAAAGTCTGAAGAATTTTGCAGAAATTTGAATTTTGGCCAATTTCCAGAAATGCTCCCGCTACATTACAGTCCACTTTAAAGGTACAAGGAGAATTGCTCAGTGAAGGAGAGCTCATCTAAGCCATTTATAAGGCTGTACAACCTAAGATAAAAGAGTTATAAGTGTTTGAAAATCATAAAAAAGGCCACCATCTTGAAAAATCAACCTCAATCCTACATATAGGCTACCGTCTATATAATAATTATACTAATAATAACAATTCAACTGAACTAGAGTATATAAAATCAATATTATATATAGGGACTAGCAGCAAGACAATTTACGGATGAGGTCCTCCTTCACAGCATGCAGCATCATCCTAACATTGTCAATTTCTTAGGGGTCTATTATGCTCCACATTCTACGCTGCCAACATTAGTAATGGAGTACCTTCCGAGGACTCTTACATCATGCCTCGAATCCAATAGCCTCAAAATACAGATGAAATACGCTATTCTCCTTGATGTCGCTAAAGGTCTGATTTATCTTCACCAAAAGAACCCCTGCGTTATTCATCGTGACCTCACAGCTAATAATGTCCTATTGACCCATAACTTGCTACAAGCAAAAATATCTGATTTGGGTGTGTCCAGAAAATGGGCCGATACAATGCTCACCAAAGCTCCTGGAAATACTATGGTTATGCCACCAGAAGCTCTTAAAGATAATCCGGTATATGATCACAAGTTAGATGTATTCTCTTATGGTTGTCTCATTCTTCATGTTCTTACGGGTCAATTTCCTCGACCGACCAATCAGTTTAAACCTAAACCATCTCGAAAAAGTGCAGATGACTACATTAAAGTGCCTGAGTGCAATAGAAGGTCATATTATATTGAGAAACTACCACAAGTTAGTGATCTCACTAGTTTAGTTAAGCAATGCCTCTCAGATGACCCCACTAAACGACCTGAAATGAAAATAGCATCAAGTATTATAGAAGGTTTCATATCACATGTGGTAGTTGATGGTGTTGAAGAAGGTTTTGCTTTAGTTGATGTTATTTCTGATCCAGAAAAGTTTTCCCAAACAACAATCAAGCAGCTAAAAAAGAAAATATTGGAAACCATTCCAGGTTTAGTACAAAATCCACAACACTTAAACCTTCTTTTCAATGAAAAAATCCTTGATGACACCAATTATTGGACTAAAGAGGAGAACATGTTGCATCATTACAAAATTCAGAAGCATTCCATTGTTACTGTAAGATGCTACGGACAGAAAAACAAAAGAGTACCAGTTCCACCATTAGTTGAAAACAAAGAATACCCGACTGATTGTATTTTAGAGTTCACCGATGATCCTGATTGTATCGATCCTTATTCCAATTCTACTAGGCGAGTAAAAATGTCCTGCGGTCATGCTGTTGAGCCAAATTCCCTCACAGCTTATTGTCGTAGTCTGTTGAGTCAACACAAGTCGAAATTCACTTGCCCTGCCATTACTGATAGTGGCAAGCATTGTAACAAAGAATGGGAATATGCAGAAGTTCGTCTTGCAGCCTTGTTGACTGAAGAAGAGAACATTTACTTTGAGTCTAAAATGTCAGAACACGCTCTTTCATTACTGTCCGATATAAAGGAGTGTCCTCTCTGTCGTACTTTTGCAGAGCGAATTGATGCCAATAATCCTTGTGCTAAGTGCCATGCATGTAGTACCAGGAAAGGATATGAGTACACATTTTGCTGGTATTGTCTGGAAGAATGGAAAGAAGCTCCTTCGTCTAAGAAATGTGGTAATCCACTCTGCATTCATCCTGATCTTTTAAGTCTTAGGGATGCTCCTGACGTTATCCTTTGCGGGAAAAGTGTTCCAAATCGTCGAGCCTGCCCAACTTGTGGAAAAATTGTTGAAATTATTCCTGTTGGATGTAAATTTGTGCTCTGTCCAAGATGCAAAAATGAATATTGCTTTCTTTGCCTCAAGTCAAAAAATAATTGCCTAAAAGCCGCACCACAGTCCTGGTTTAAAGAATGTGCAGAAGATGTTGCATCAAAGCAAACATATATTCCTTCTGCTAACTAAGTTTTTTTTTTCATTGACTAATAAATATGTTATTTGTTTAGTCTAGTGTAGATTTTGCTATTTTTGATCTGATTCACTGTTGTTTATTTCTTAATTTAGTGAAAATTTAAAAAAATTATTACGTAAGTATATTAATGATAGCAAGAGTACGTAATACCTAAAGGTATTAGGTATTATGTACTCTTGATTATAGTGCTGACTATAAAAACTGTTCTAGCAGTGAGTAAAAGTAAGATGGTTGTATTTTTATGGATACTAGCTTTATTAAATAGTGGTTTTTATACACATAACCATACCTACATATACACAAGTGTGTACAAAATATTTTAGGTGCATGTGTGTGTGTGTGTCTGTATGTGTAGATTGTGTCATGTGTGTATGTGAGGACTGTGTGAATATTATGCCAAGCATTGGCATGTAAACTACATACACACATATTATAATAAATACACATTACCAAAAACAGTCTAACACAGATACCAGACACTCCATTTATAAATTTGACCTTTGCATTATGCCAGTACTAGTGTATTAATATCATAGGCTAATGCGGTTCGATTATAGTTTTTTGCCTATATAGCTATCATTCTGTTACATTGCTATGAAGTTGTTATTGTGTCACTGTGCTGTAGCATAATAGTCAGAGTATACTATACACTATCCTTTGGTTGCTGTTATGACAAGGACCTGTGTGTGATATTAAATGGAGGATCAGCAGCAAGTCTTAACTTTTCATTAGATAGGTAACTGCAAAAATTATTTTTAAGTTCCTTCATGTTGACTCCATGTACATGATTTGTACTAGAATAAAACTCCATTATTTGAAATGAATATCAATTGTTGTTTGAATGTACCATTACACAGTGTAGAGGAGTATACACTAGCCATTAGGGGAGAGATTGTTACCATCCCGTAAACTATCCGTCAACGGACTTTTACAGGCTTCGCCTGTATACTATACTGGGGCTTCGCCCCAGTATATTATTATATAGGCGGTAGCCTATATGTAGGATTGAGGTTGATTTTTCAAGATGGCGGCCGTTTTTATGATTTTCAAACACTTATAACTCTTTTATCTTACGTTGCACAGCCTTATAAATGGCTTTACGGAAGCCGAGGGCGACATATCCCATTCGCGTTCGTGTTCGTATTCTCAGAATGGGAGCGGATCCGGAGCATCCATATTTGCTAGGCGGGGTAGCTAGTGGGCGTGCACGCGTGGGTGGTTATGTATCACGTGATTGAGTCCACATGTCCAAGCAAGTCCGCCATTGTAAGTCTGTCTGTGACTACAATTCCGTTATTGTTGTACTCTGTCTCTTTCTCTGTCTGGAAATCGTTCGTTGATGGAGTTTTGTATGGATACGAATTTATTTGATCAACTACAAAGTGGCGGTATTTCTGCTGCCACTTGTGATATTTTGAAGGAGGAGCAAATTATCACACCAGACATTTTTTTTTCATTGGGGCAGGAACACTTTGCAGCATTGAGGGGGAGAGTCAAGATAGGACAACATGTTCTACTGTTAAAGATATGGGATAAAGTATTAGTATTGAATAATAGTATTGATAACCATATGAATTTTGTTAATGTCAGGGTGTGCGTAAAGGTTCAATGAGAATGAGTTTGTCCCCGACTCCTTCAACCTCTTCTACTTCATCTATAAAGCAGCCAGGTAACTACTTTGTATGATTAAATAATAATAACACCAATTATTAATTTATTATTTTTAATTAATATTGGAGTGTTTTTACTATCAATATAATTTCTAGAGGATGTACGACAGTCTATTAAAGACCTTGCTATTTTATATAAAAGTAGAAACTCAGCAGAAGTAAAGGGAGGTCCAAAAAAGGGAAGCGATCCTTGGAAAATAACGGTAATGACATTACATTAGCTATGTTTATTTTATTAATTTTTTAGATAATATTAGGTGGTATGCTGTATAATTCTCTTTCTGGCAAAGGAATAAAGAGAGATTACCTTCCAAAAC